ATATAGCCACGTGTCGACCGTGCAGGATGTGAAAGGAAGCGCGTTGTCGCTTTGTGGGAGCTTTACATCTCTCTTGAACAACAACGCAGCCGTGGCGGCACATGGGTCGGGTGGACTTATCGGGCTAAGTGGGTTTGGTCTCGGACTCGGGACGGGTTTCGAAGACGTGAGCTTTGGACTCGGAAGTGGAGTAGGGAGTAACGGTGGTCCGGCGGCTCCGATGGCCGCCACGTGGCAGCTGGAGGGTCTAGAGAACAACGCAGGGTTCGTCGCCGGAGATTGTTTCGCCTGGCCGGATCTTGCCATCTCAACCCCTGGGAACACACTCAAGTGAAGTGAGCCTGTCTCTGTCTCTGTTTCTGTCGGAGGGTTTCGTTCCTTTTTCTTCTTCTTCTGATGTAGTGATCTTCTCTTGCGTGTCTCGTCGATCTAGGTTAGGTTGTTAGCATTACTACTAGTACTATCTCTCAAGGAGTAGAAAATAGAAACGTGTGCGTTTTGGCTCCAAGCTGTTACTTGGCCTGTATTAGAGTCTTTGCACCCGTGATTTCTAATGGAAAGAACGATACTTTTACAATCTCAACACGCTCCTCTCTCATTTCATCCAATCCGAAGAAAGAACCTCCCAAAGTTGTAAACTTTCCATTTCCTTTCAATCATGTAAGGTTACTACAAATGGTAACTAGTCATATGCTCATGACCAGAAGAACAAACCATTACCAATACAAATCAGAGAACTTAAAGAACAGCGACTCTAAAAGCTCTAAGGGTGTCTTCCGACAGCTTTGCCGCAGAGAAGAAGGTTATCAGGAGGGTTGTATTCGTTGGCCAGGCTCTGGATAGGGTTCCATACTTTGAGGTAAAACTGCTGTCCAAGATACTGTCTCTCCCATATCGCTGATCTCATGTTCCACATCCCTTGATTGTCCAGAGACACTAAGATTGCTGTCCACGAATTCGGATATACCTGGCAAGAACGTTTGGTTTTTGCATCAATACATCATGGAGGAATTTTTCTGAAAGATTGCGGGTTTATACCTGAGTCGTGTGTCTCGTAAGAGCGTCTTTCAGATTGTACAGTGATCTCTTTGCCGGCGTCCATTGTCCAGAACCAAATCTGTATTTATTGCAAGAACAGTTCGTTAGGGTCCAATCTGAGCAAAGGGTATAAGCAAACCATCAAGGAATCCAAAATCCAAAACCCACCCGACAACCCAGAAGTCGTAACCATCAAGATGCCAAGACTGCACTGTTCTTTCGTTGTTCTGGAAGACAACCTCGATGAAATCATGGAGATTCGTTTGCACAACAGAAGTAGCAACAGTTGCCGGTGAATTGGACGGCACTCTCTGAATGGCATTAGTGCTGAAAACTCCGGCTATGTTGAAGTAATCGGCCAGTTTAAGAGGTGTATCAGAGTTCAAATATGAGACGCCATTGACTGCATAGCGTTGCTTTCCGTTGATCAGAGGAGCTGAATTCGAGAAGACGAACATCTTCGTGGGAGTGATTTTTCCATAATGGAAGGATCCCTGAGGGTTTGGCCTAGCTGCATTTGCCGTCAAGTTCCACCTATCGGTAAAACATAATTGCAAGATCACGTAAAGAGACAATCAACCTCAATCTGTATAAGAAATGCAAGAGCTTCCTCTTACCTGAAAGTCCTGGCTTGTCTCATGGACCAGACCAATTCTCCCGGGGGAGGATCCGGCAAAGAACCAGAAGCCGGAGCTCGGGAGTTAGAGTAACGTAACAAGCCAGTCACAGAGAGTACTCTTCTCGTGAACCGAGTGCTTGCCATTATGTAATAATCTTTAGGAGATTGGTTTAAGGTCACCAAAATGGAGAGGGACTGGCCAACATGAATGTCAAGAGAATCGTAGTCGGTCTGGATCACGTGAGATCCTTCCACCTCGACCACTTTCATGGTGTGCCCTTGTATTCTCAAGTTGAATGAAGTTGATAATCCAACGTTGGAGATTCTGAACATGTATGTTTTCCCTGATATATCGAAAAACCGGACATGGAACATTGATACCCTGAAACCCAAATGACTCGAAAAATGACCATGTCATCTCGAATTCGGACACAAAGTCTTTACCTTGGTCCCCTGTGAATGTTGCCTGAGTCTGCCCGTTTATGAGCAATCCGTCTGGATACAATAACGGTGTCCCAGAATCCAGACGTTGTTGCAGAGTCTGAATAAAGTTCAAGTTTCAGAAACAGAGGACATAAACACAAGATAGCATCAATACCATCTTTCACAATGTACTCATCTACCAGAACCTTGGATATGCAACACAATCACAGATATATAGATATACACACACACATACACAATGCGCATTGAAAAATGAATAAGGTCCTCCCTCACATTGTGGTTGGTCTTGAACCAATCACCAATGAGCAATGTGAAATCTGAGGCAGGGAGAGGATAGGGGATTGGGATCCTCGGCCTGGCGTAGACATTGATTGCTCCATAGCCTCCGGCAGCTTTGTGAAAGGCCGTGGAGGGAAAGTAGGTATAGGTTCCGATCTGATCTTTTGTCTGAAACTTGTAGGTGAAGTTGGAGTTTGGAGGAATCGGACAGTTTGTTCCCAAAACCCCATCTTGCCATGAGTTCTTCCTCTGCTTAATTCCATTCCTAAAAGGAGAATACTTTGATTTCAGCAAACGATCCAACGGAACAGATCACAACAATGGTTATGACCCAGTAACCAAAACACTGAAAACCTCATTTCACTTTCGATTTTTTCCCGGAATAGAATCTTTTCAGATGATCACATGAAATCTAGGGCTGAAAACTCTCGATTTGAAGTAAACCCCCGAGGAAACGCACCAGAAAAGTGAATTTATCCAACGGAAGGCATAGAATTGGAGAAGTTACGATTTCAGAAAACCCTTCTTCCGGAAAGAGAAAAGGATAAACAACCAGCATTCATCGAGAGAGGCGATGCTCTGTTTTGCAGCGAGAAAATGGAAAGTTTGAATCTTTCGGCGATCTCACAAAATGGGTAAGAAAACAATCGCAGATCGTACATTGATTTTCTGACGGTAAAAACTATCAAGCGTCCACATTTTCTGAAATAGGAAGAAAGACTTACCAGGTCAAGAGGAAAGGCTGGTCAAGTTTGTTGATGAGATTGAGGATGATGTTGTCATTGGTCACGACGTCAAGCCTTGGACCAGGAAACTGACCATTGATAAAGATGACCTAAACAACAAAACCCCGCAGATAGATGAGCTCCCAGATTCGAACAACATAAAACACACAATATTACAAACGAAAAAAAACACGAAATGTGGAAACTTTCCAGAAGAGGTTGTAAGGGAGGTACCTGTTGAGGAACACCGAGAGGAGAAATAATGCCATAAGTGACAGTCCAAGTGTAATACTTGTAAGGGTCATCTCCTTTCACTTTCACTACACTGCCAAAAACAGCCATAACTCCAAGAAGAAGATGGAGCATAACTGATAATGCCATTTTCGACGGCCTGTGAGGAAAAAAAAAACGAAACTTTATCAAAACCCAATAATTTTTCTCTTCTGGGTATGGATCAGAGAGGCAGGATCTGGGTGGAGGTATAAGTAGTAAGTGTGCCGGTTGAGGAGGGAAGATATGGTGCAGTGAGAGAACCCCTTTCCAATATGTCATTTTTCAACTAAATTTCCACTTTCCAATTTGCCATTTTTCAACTAAAATGTATTACTATAATTATTTAATTTATTCCCTCTGCCAGATGAAAACTTTATCGAGAAGCTTCTAATATTATATTTTTATGTGTAAATGAGCGTATAACTGGAGTGCATTATACAGTTTCATGCAAGTTGGTTGATCATCAGTGTAAAGATGTGAAATTATTTACATATATATATATATATATATATATATTATCTTTGTATACAAGATTTGCATGGCAGATGTATAAAGGTGGCATCTGGTGAATTGAGAGGCTATGTACTCAGACAGGTTTTCACGCGTTTCCTCGCTATTATGATTGCTTGCGACCAAAGCTTAGCTCTCATTATTCCACCATTCCCACAACAAACAACCCATCAGAACATAGCTTATTAATTAATCTAAACAAAGGGAATGCGGGCGAAAACTTTGCCCTAATTTCTCGCCGTTGATTTGATTCCGATTCATGTTCTTCTGTGCCTTCCTGAAAATCACTTCGAATTTCGAATCTAAATCTAAATGAGGTTTCTGGAGACATTTTACTTGGCTTTCTTCTATTTACCTCGTTTTCCATTTTAATTGTATTCTTTTGACAAATTACAAAGCTCCTGTCTCTTATTACAGGAATACAAACAAAAAAAAAACATAGGTGTTGGCATTACACTGTTTCTCTTTTTCTGATTGTTCATTTACAAACTTCATGGACTCACCATGATGGGCACCGGTCGACCTATTTTTTTGTTTTTATATATATATATATATATAGTTTTATAACGTCTTCTACCCATTTGATGGTATTAATAATGGCCCAGGTCGGTGGTCGATCTTTTTTTTTTCTTCATATTTTAGCAAAAGGAAAAAATGGTCACCATTTTTATTTTATTTTATGGTAAGCATTAAGTAAATAGTTATTTGTTATCACAAGGGCAATAGTTTTAAGATTTTTAGAAAACAAATTGTTAGTTTGTATAACATTTTGTCCAATTGTAGTTTTGGGAAACATTGACTTTGTCAAAACAGATAAAATAAATTAGTCAATGGCAAGACATTTATGAGTATTGCCTATGCTGGCAGGAAGAGTAAGTTGCATTTGCCACCCATTTGATTCGATTAATAGATAATGGGCAAATATGCATTGGTCCATAATTTTAAAGCCTAAGGCCATGTGATTGATTCTCCTCTAAGGAATCTAAGAATCTGATTTATGTCTTCTTTAATAATAATAATAATAATAATAATTTATGTCACATAAGCCGAATTCAAGGCAAATTTGCCATATACTTTCACAACTCGGAGTTGTAGTGGACCAGTGGTCACATTTTTCAAGCACAACCTAAGCCCTCGTTTTTACTGTTTATTACGTGTTTGCCACTGCCGGGGTTTGAAGCTGACGATAGTTTTAGAAAACTCGCCACCATTGTGGAAGAGAATAAACTGGGAGGGGCTGATACAAAAATGACGGATATAAAAAAAAAAATCGAGGGAGGAGGGGAGAGAGAGGATAACTATCAGCCTTTGAAAACATTACAAGTCTCCTTCAATCACACGCTGTCGGAACAAAGCTAGAAACACAGAAGAGAGTATGGAGACAAGAACCATATCACACAGAAGAAGAGCACCGTATGTAAATATGGACATATGGGATTTTGGCTATTGGAGGGCGTAAACTATCTCGCCGCTGCTGTCAACATCGATCTCAGAATCGGAATCCAAGTCATCCAACATGTCGTCATCCAGGTCGAGGTTGTCGGCCATGTAATCGTCCAGGCTTCGGTTCCGGACGGCTGGGATTGTGGCCTCGGAGATAATCTGCATGATGGTGTCAAGACTTTGCATGGGCTGGTCAGCTTCTTCGAACTGGTTCCCCATCTTGTTCTCATCCATTAGATCGGTTGGGAGATTCCTCAAGAACCATTCGTGTGTTTTTATCTCCGGAATTGTGATCCTCTGCCGTACCACATTCACGAGTGTGTCATTTCCCAACGCCTAAAAGATGAGGTTTTTCGTTTTTTCTACCTGGAAAAAATGACTTCAGGATCTGAAGAGGATGATGACTTACTGCTGCAGGATCGGCCACGAAGATTCTTGATATCAGATGACGGCATTCGGGTGAAAGCTGTATATCCTCGGGAATCGAGTATTTGACACTGAGGATTCTCTGCATTTACGATCACCAGAAAGCCATCATATGTTCATTGTTCAAGTTCCAGAAAAATGTTAGGAGATAAGGGCATTTAAACTTTACTTGTATCGTCTTTCGATAGTCCCTAGGCTCTTCCGGATCCTCAAATGGATATGCTCCAACCAACATAACGTATAGTGTTACGCCGCATGACCATACATCTGCAATCTGGTTTTATCAAATCACCAAGTTCAGAATGTGGGTCTACTAATGTCAGCTTCAGGAGAGAAGTCAGAGACTCAAGTTCAAGAGAAGTATATGACAATCAGCAGAATTGTATTATGTAAGAATATCGTTTTGAGCAGACTGATAACCAATATCAATCCCCTTGAAATTCATTGATTCACATCTGTTAGAAAGCAAAACACAATTAAAGTTTATGCAGGTCACTCCATATTTGGCTGGAGATGACGGTACATATCATAGGAAATGCTGAGAGAGAGAAAGAGAATTCCAGAAAACTAATTTTAAAGAGTAGGTCCAGTGCTCTTACCTTTCCATCATATTCCTGTCTAAGCAACACCTCCGGTGCAATATATGCAGGAGTACCGACGGTAGACTTTGGTTGCGAATGAAGAACAGAAGACTGAAGAGAGAATGTGATTAGGCAGATCAGATAACAAATTGCAGCAGAAACATCGATCTCAAACAGCTGAATTAATGCAGCATATAGTTAAGCATATATCATCCAGCTCTAATCTCAATCAGTAAACAAGAAAAAGCCTAACAACATATGCAGAGATCAGCATGACATTGAGGAGCCGATGAAGAACCATAACAAGTACCGGGTTGTTTCGCCCAGAGCATCAATATAGGAATTCAGAGGACAAACCTTCTGAGAGTTAGTACCTTGGAATATCCAAAATCACATATCTTTAACCGAGGAGCAGGACTTCCGTCCAGCAATGTATTTTCCAGCTTCAGATCACGATGGCAGACTTGCTTCAAATTGAAAACGGAACAAAAAAGTTAACCACAATATAAATCACGGAATTCCCATCTGCCGGCATGTTAACAACTGAAAGGAACACTTGTCCACATACCATCGCATGACAATAGCTGACTCCAGATATTAGCTGCTGAAAGAAGAAAAGAGCCTGTACAACAAATCAGAGATCATAAGCACATAAAAATCGGCAATGAATAAAGAGAGACAAGATATCAGAGTCCGAACCTCATCTTCGCTAAACCGCCCTGCATTGCAAATCCGCTCATAAAGCTCTCCTCCAGAAGCATATTCCATTACAATAGCCAGATGGGTAGGTGTTAAAATGACCTATAGCAGAAGCACAGACACATGAACAATGCTGCCACACAAGCGTGTATGCACCAGGAGCCAGAAGCTGTTTATTTACCTCTCTAAACCTGACAATATTGGGATGCCTCAATGACCTGTGATTGATGATTTCTCTTTGGACATTTTCATCGATCTGTGCAGCAAGGAATATTGTCTTAGTAAGAGCCAGGATACAAGTCATCCAAACTTCTACCCTCATACACAATCTTATCCATTCGGAACTGGATCAAATCCTACTGATTTCTATATTTCAGCTGATTCTCCGTTACAATAAAATACCCATCCGAAAACAACTTCTTTCGATTCATTTTTTCACTAAATATCGGCGTAGAAGCTGCAAAATCACTACTTTAAGAATTGTACAAGTCTCGGAACGGGCAGGAAATGTCGAGTCTTTAATCAAATTCACAACTTTACGCACAGTAACGCATCCAAGCAGAATCATAGTCAAACCAAAGAATCATAGACAACGTCTAACACCTTAAAGACAACAGAAAAGGCGAACCTTGAATCAGGTAACGATCTAAAACGCAAAAATACAGGTAAAACTGCTAAATCGGGAAACTGAAAGTATCCAATCAATCTCATAAATAGAAAGTGAAATCTGCGGCAATAAAGCAAGCAACAACAACGGATCGTAAAGACCTTGTCTCCCCTCTCGATGTACTTGACAGCAACGAGCTCCTTGGTGACCTTATCCCTCATAAGCCGGGCCACGCCGAAATTACCGGACCCGATGTCCTTAACGAAGTCGTAGCGGTCACTGTCGTGTATGATCGGCAAGTCCATCCCCGGACCCGCAACCATCGCCGTCGGATCCATCTACTGTTTTTGCTCCGATACCTCACGATCACATCACAGAGCTAAGACCCGAAGACTCCGCCGATTTCGAGCCCAAAACGAAGACTCGGAGCGAAGAAATCGGTAGCTGGAATCCGGAGGGAGAAGAAGAAGAATCGAGTGGAGTCGGGAGAGGAAAATATCTGGGAGAAGATATTTGGGAGAAGAGATCGAACAGCGAATGAAAGAGCAAAGGGAAAGGGAGGTAGAATCGAATGAAGGCAATAATTGGTCGCCCCAAGAGATAAGGGGAAGGTGGGGATCCCGAAACGGCGGCGTTTCAGTGATTGCTGCAGCTCGATACGACAAAAGCTGCCGCGTTTTGGTGCGTTTCTGTTGCTTCATAAGCAACCAAAGCCTTTCATGCGGAAAAAGCCGCGGCTTCACTCGCCTTTGTCGGCTATAAAGACAGAGCCTTTTCTCATCGTTTATCTGTTCCATTTCTTCCTCCCTCTCTTTTTTTCTCTCTCTCTTAATTTTAGAAAGAAAATCCAGAAATCATCAAACAAAAAATTATCGAATTTTCAAGTAAACTTGAATATGCAACCGTTATATACACTTTTTAAAACATATTGATGTCTTTTTATCTCCAGCTGTTTGGATATTTAAGTTATCAGAAATTATTTTGAGAATTAGGACAGCTGCATAATTTGTTTTTATTTGAGAATTAACACGGTTAAAAAAAATTCGGAGGCTGTGGCCGTGAATTGACGGCGTCAAATACCTGACTTTTGGCCGTCAATAATGATTAATGGATCAAAACACCGTTTCTCCAACTAACGGTATTCGAAGAGGTTTAACGGAGAGGATGACTCCGACGTGGCAAAAAGTGCTCTCCCTTCCGTTTCATTTATTCAGAAAAATACGCCAAAAATAAAAGATCGTAATTGGTATTGAAAAAAAAAAGAGAGACCGCGGCAGAGGTTTATATTGGGCCTAAATCTCGGCCCAATAATCAAGCCCGTCATCAGTGGGAGAAGCCGTCCATATACACTCCTGTACATCGGACTTTATGGAATGAAACAGTTTGGAAGTGCTGATGTATTAGCTACAAGTACGTACGCACTCTGACAGATATTTATTACCGAAATCAGTGATTGGGTTTTATGGGTAAGTGCGCAATTAATGGCTCTACCTGTGGACGATGCCCATCCCCTTCATTATTTCTAAATACCCTAAATGCCACTTACGTACTTATCATGCGTCTTAGAATTTAAAACTCCGCATCAGTCTGAGTACAAATGTTGTCGCGTAGAGTTACATAAGAATTTTATTAAAGATTAAATTATAAATGTCTACTGTACATCCGGTATCTACGATGTGTGGATATCTGAAGTCCGTTATTCTAAACATGGGCCCATTAGAAAAGCCCACAATTAAATTATTTCTTTCATGAAAGCCCAAACCGGCCCGTAACACATAAACCCTTCCGAAAATCTGATTTTCACCGAAAACCCTAACGTCTCTGGAGCTCCATCACAAGAAAAAAAAAATGGGGAAATGGTGGCGTGGCCTGAGATCCGCCGCAACGGCGGGGGGGGTTT